TTTTTTTTTTTTCAGTTGTTTAGGATCGGATATATAGCGTAGCAACGAAAATAATGATTTTTTTATTTTATTCAAAAAAACAATGTATGAATGTTAATATATTCTATTGTCAATGTCAACTACATCACTCTTTAAAAATAGAGAATAAACTGGCTTTGATTACACGTTGGCTACCAATTTCCCTCGCCTTTTACGTTGCAAATTAACGTATATTTTTCAATTTTTAATCTAGTATTATTATATATTTTTATTTGATTTATTGTTTTTTTAGGGAAATATACATAGCGTAGACGTCAAAATATTAATACTAAATAATATTGTTTTTTTATATATTTTAACCACAAAATAATATTTATCTTTTATATTTTAACCGCAGTTATATTATGTTATAGTTCTATAAATTGTATGATATTTAGCGAATTTACGTTATTTATTTATATTTTTAAGACGTCAAATGTTTCAGGGTTAGGCCAAGACTGAGTCTGAAGTTTGTTTCGGATTCGTATGAGCAAAAAGCATATATAGAGTTTGCGGTTTATTGAAAATAAATCAAAATCGTCATTCAAATTTTTTTCATATAAATAAAATAAATACCAATATTTCAAAGAGCAGTACAAGTTTTCAATTTTAATTGTATTATTATTATAAAATATAATAAATATTTTAAAAGTATAATTACCAACGTGACACCATCTTCTGTCTGAGTCCCCGGATGTCCCGCCTTTCCCCGCCTCTCGGTCCATATGACGTCAGCAGGCTCCTCCTTCCAGCTTCCTCTTTTCCCGTGGCAGTGACAGACTGACACCATGAAGGCGTCCGGCACAGTACGTAAAACCTTTAAAATCCACATTTAAACCCGAAACACACGGGATACACGAACCGATGTCGCTTTATAACACTATGTGTGTACTATTTATGTATTAACATTTCGGAAAAATCTAGAAATTAGTGGCATTTTGAGTGTTTTTCGTCCCGGTTTGAGGGTCCAACATGGCGGGTGCTAGACCATGTGGAGACCGACCGTTAACATGAGACTCCGTTAGAAATCACTACTATTCTCTAAATATATAACACAATTCAGACATCCTTACTTGTAGAGCTGTGTGTGTCTAATCATCAGCTAAACGCACCACATGATTCGTTTTTAGCTGTGGCGTTAAGCTAATTTAAAGCTAACAAATGCTAACGTGTTTTCTAACTTAACTTCAATGGAAGCTAACTAATGCTAACTGCTAACGTGGTGCTAATGTGTTTCCTCCGCAACGTGGGATTAGCATGTAGCTTTCTATAAGTGAGCTGCTTGTATTTTAAACGGGTTTTAAATTGTCAAGTGTGTTTTTTAACAGTATATAAAGTTGATTAAAGAGCCCCTCTCCTGTGTCAAATAGCGAGGCTAGTTTGAAGTGTCTAATAGTTTCTACAGAATTCCTAATGCTAACATGCTAGCTCCAATGGTACATCATATCCAAGTTTAATGCCAGGTACATTTACCGTTTTATGGGGGGGCAAACATAAACAAGATGAGGAAATGACTTGTAGGATGAGGTCAAAACTATACCTGCTATTTAGCATTAAAGTAGAATATGTATTAGGTATTTACCCCAGATCTAATCAAACGAAAAGTACAATATAGTCAAAACATACATGCTCAGAGCTTTTGAACAAAACATGCATATCTATTACCAGTTCAAATCCAGCATGTTTTTTTTTACATTACATCCAAGTGTGACTTAAGTGTGTCAATAATAAATCATCTTGCTTGTTATAGTACAAAACATAACGAAGATGGCTAAAAAAAACAGCGATTTAAATTGTTTGTCGTCTTACTTGACTGAGTGCAATAATTAATGTAAATAAGCCATGTTGAGCTTCGAAATATACACAATATACTCGTAACTAAAGCTTATGTAAAATGTAAGGATAGTTAGTAGCTAAAGGGTTGAAAATGTAATCAAAGATGTCCTTTTTTTCAACAGCAGCGTATTTTATTTGACAACAGAACATATTTAACATTTATGAAAGTATGCAAAGCCACAGAAAGTCCTCAACAGGGTGAAAGAGTGTTGACACGTTTCTAAGTCAGAGAAAAAGTCTCAACTCAATCCACTTTTTATTGTTCGTGTTAAAGTGCACCCTAACTTTTTTCATTCTAAATTGAGTTTATTGCATATTAATTTAACCAGACAATATGACGAGAGATATATAAATGTAACTACAGACGCCTCCGGTCAACGTCTGGTAAATACTTCCTAATGGCGTTGACAGATTGATGAAACATGTCTATATTTATATGAATGTTGTCAAAGTGATGCACCCAAACCCAAAGGCCGTATCAGTGTGATATGATTTTGTCTGGCGTGCAAACAGGAAGTGAACCTTGTCGCCTTTCTTTGAGCTGCCGTGCCTCTGAAAGTGAATCCAAGGAGCTACAGATCTGTTGTGTATATTTCTATATATGTATTTAAAGTTATATATATATTACCTGTCGCCAGAGGTGGCTAATTTACTTGAGTACATGATGTGTGTACTTCTACTTGAGTAAAGGATGTGTGTACTTCTACTTGAGTACAGGATGTGTTAACTTACACTCTCTCTTGTGTTCCTGAAGCTTCGGGAGTATAAGGTCGTTGGGCGCTTGCTGCCCTCGGCGAAGAACCCGGCCCCCCCTCTGTACCGCATGAGGATCTTCGCCCCGAATCACGTGGTGGCGAAGTCCAGATTCTGGTACTTCGTTTCTCAGCTGAGGAAGATGAAGAAGGCGTCCGGAGAGACAGTCTACTGCGGACTGGTAAACAACAACAACACTCTCACACTGCAAACAACAACATGTACACAAAGACACATTTTACACACCAGACACATTTTCTCAATTCAGAAGCTTCTTGTGTTTCATCAGACGAGGTAGATGTGCCTTTGTGTCCCGTGCAGCACATCAGATCTAAACTGGTACACAGAGCATCCCAGTAGCTGTGATCTCGTTCTACAGTCATCACAGCGGCTGCTTGAGAGAAGATGAGCTTCATATGGAACCCACCACATTGGGATATTAGAACCTGCTCACTGAAGCATTTCTATCAGCTCTTACCGAAACACCTTCCTGTTTCCATAGAGATCTGTCTCTTGGCAGAACGACGTTAAAGTTGAATTATTATTATTATTATTAGTGCTCGTGTGGCATCAACGAGATCAGCTGGTGCCGACTCGTCTATCCAGATTATATTAATACGCTCTAAATTGGGTTTATTGTATATTTTTACCAGACAATACGAGCAGAGATTTAAACGAACTTCTGCAGACGCCTCGAGTCAAAGTCACTAAAACACCGACTGATGGAAACACTGGGACAGATGCGTGTATTTAAAAGACTCTGTAAATGATTAATACTATGTTTGAAGTAAAACATGCCAAGACTCATCGAAAAGTGAGATTTGAATAAAAACATTTATGATCGTGAACTTTGTAGAAACATGATTGTGAATGAATGCGTTTTACAATCTCTGCAGTAAATGTTAATGTCTGGATATGAATCAAAGTGCTGCACCCAAACCCAAAGGCCGAGTCAGTGTGATTCGGTTTGGTCTGGCGTGCAAACAGGAAGTGAACCTTGTCGCCTTTCTTTGAGCTGCCGTGCCTCTGAAAGTGAATCCAAGGAGCTACAGAACGTAACGATGCACCGCGCCCCGGCCTCTGGAGTGCTCCTTCTGGGATTCGACCACTTTGTGGAGATTTAAGACGCATTTCAGTCTTTTTTAGGGTTTAGATGAACTCGATGTTGTGAAAAGGGCATGAAGACGGGTACACCTCAACATGTCGGATATCAACGGATCTAAACTCCCTTTAAGAAGCTTTTGGGGTTTACACGTCTCTGAATCGCTCTGAACGACATGCAGACTCTCCCCTTGGTCTTAATCTAAGTATATGTCTAAGTGTGTGTGTGTGTGTGTGTGTGTGTTTCAGGTCCATGAGAAGACTCCCCAGAAGGTGAAGAACTTTGGTATCTGGCTGCGTTACGACTCTCGCAGCGGGACACATAACATGTACCGAGAGTACAGAGACCTGACCACGTCTGCTGCTGTCACCCAGTGCTGTGAGTATTACACACACACACACACACACACACACACACACACACACACACACACACACACACACACACACACACACACACACCTCATCACAGGCCAGGATGGAGGGTTGAATGCACCTAGAAATATCAGGGCTCGACATTAAGGACTGCCCGATGGCCCGGGGCCATCTAGTATTTAGCTCGGGCCATGAAGCCTCACCTGCTGGTTGCCCGATCGGGCAATCTATTATACCAGTATCATGCAGCTCGCGGATCCAGTAATGAGTGACCCGACAGTGAAACTAAACATATCTATAACTAGTTACGGTAGTTTGAGAGGTAATTAAAATAGCTACGTGTGATATTCTAACCTGAAGTGTGTGTTTTGTCCGCTCACCGCTGCATGTGATCATGCAGAGCTGCGTATCGACTCGTCAGCAGCAGCTGATCTCTCTCTCCCGTCAGATTAGACTTCACTCGCGTTTATTTCCATATCGATCAGATCCAGCTAGTTCTAGCTAATGATATGACTACCTGCTTATTAAAGGACACCTA